GAGTTACTCTTTGCATGCTTCGGAGACTACATCCCAGCGCCACTGAATCTTCCATTTTACTCCTGTATCCCACTTGGCTGATTGGTTAATGCTTGTTGTCCACTCTGCAAAATGGCATACTGAAAGGAACATCACTTTAGTTAGAGTCAGATAATCTGGGTTTGAATCTTGATACTACTTGTGTTACTTCTCCAGGCTTCATTTTCTCCATCTGTTAAAAAAAAATTATGAGTTGATTAGTTTCTCAAGTCCTTTTCAGCCTTGCTTCTTCCTTTTTTTTATTTTTCACCTGGGTCCTCCTCCCCACTATTTCATATGATACTTTGAGACTCAATACTGCCCCGCAATAATAATAGCTCACTTGACTGGGTTGGAAAATTGGTTATTGTTTGCTCTTCCTGTTGAAGCTGGAAGTAAAGGAAATAAAATTGACAGAAGGAGAATAGAACTTCATGGTGAAGTAAGAGTCTGGAGGAAGCAGGGGAAAATTTTGGAGCATAGCTTAAACATATATAGGTTAGACATATCAAAGAAAAGGGTTCAGAAGGGATTCTCCTGAAGACCTTGGGAGGATTATAGTGATCCCACAGAATATATTTTTAGAATGATTCCTTAATGAATCAACCCAAACAAAAACAGAAAATACATACAAAAAAATCAACCAGTCTTAATACTGTTCTTATTCTCTCACTTCAAACCTTTCCTAACTATTCTAAGCCATAGGAAGATAGGCACATTAATACATCATTGACAGAACCATGAATTGATCTAATCACTCCAAAAAACAACCTGAAAGAATACCACAAAAGTAACTAAACTGTATTTTCTTTTTTCTCTTTTTGGCTAGGCAATGGGGTTAAGTGACTTGCCCAGAGTCACACAGCTAGTGAGTGTTGTGTCTGAGGCAGGATTTGAACTCAGGTCCTCCTGAATCCAGGGCTGGTGCTCTATCCACTGTGCCACCTAGCTGCCCCTAAACTATATTTTCTCTTTGAGCTTGTGGTATCACTACTAAGCATATCATCTAATGAAGTCAAAGACAGAGGGAAAGGTCTTATATATACAAAAATATTAATACCAGTACTTAATTTTATTTATTTTACTTTATTTTAGTTTACTTTAGTTTACTTATTTTTTAATAACAATATTTTAGTATAACAGCTAGGTGGCATAGAGTAACAGGCCTGGCATCAGGAAGACTCATCTTCCTTAGTTCAAATCTGGCCTCAGACATACTGGCTATGTGATACTGGGCAAATCACTTAACCCTGTTTACTTCAGTTTCCTCATCTGTAAAATAAGCTGAAGAACGAAATGACAAATATTCCAGTATCTTTGTCAAGAAAATTCCACACGGAGTCACGAGGAGTCAGACATGATTGAATCAAATGAACAACAACAATGAACTTTAGTAGTAGCCAAGAACTGGAAGGAAAGTGGATGGCTATTTATTAGGGAATGTATCAAAAAGTGATATGTGAATGTAATGGATTATTATTGTGGTAGAAGAAATTAATATGAAGAACTAGAAAGAAATAATTAGAAAGGAAATTACATAAATTCTTGCAGAATGGAATAAACATAACCAAGAGAATAATATACACAACGACTACAATAATATAAAGGAAAATTACATTGAGAACTTCAGAATTTTTTTTTTGAGGCAATGGGGGTTAAGTGACTTGCCCAGGGTCACACAGCTAATAAGTTTCAAGTGTCTGAGGTCACATTTGAACTCAGGTCCTCCTGACTCCAAGGCTAGAGCTTTATCTACTGCACCATCTAGCTGCCCTGGACTTCAGAATTTTGATATGCAGTGCTGTATTAATTTCCTACCTAGCAGCTCTCCTAGACTTCATGGTCTTCAGAAATTTATCATTCTGAAAGATGAATTCAACTGTATAACTCACACTTCGTCATATCATTATTCACTCCTGCTGTAGGATTTCATTGTACTTCCCTCCACAGTTTTCAACCCCTCACCTGCCCAGTTTTTTAGGTTCTTTTTATGTGTTGTCTTCCTGCATTAGATTGTAACCTCCTAAGAGGGCAGGTGACAGCCATGCCTTTCTTTGTTTCTCCAGCCCTTAGCACCATGCCTGGCCCACTGTAGGTACTTAATAAATGTTTACTTATTCTGGCTCTGACTCAGCAGAAATCACAATTTTAGAGGACTGATGGTGAGGCATGACTCCTGCCCCTTAGCAAAGAGGTGGGGACTTCAGGTTAGAAATAAGGCATGCATTGTTAGTTGTTTTTGCTTCAAAGTCTATCTCATTGGGTTGGTATATAGAGTTCATGTTTTATTTTAATGTTGTTGTCTTTTGCTTCCCTTCTTCCAGGTTTTCCTCTACTTCAGTATGTTTGCATTCCAAATCTGCTCATCTCTCTCACTTCTTTAGAAAGATATTTCTATTATAGATTCAATTTTTTTCTATTCTGCTTTGAAAGCACTAAGTTCTGAGCTATATTAATCCCTATTTTCTCATTTCATTAATTTAATTTTCATTTTGCATACTTCTGGAGTTTCTTATTTTTTTGTTCCATGCTCCCTCAAAAATCCCCAGAATTCAGTATATTTCATCATACACTAGATTATCTACTTTTGTTTTGTACTATTCATTTAGAGAGCTTTTTAATCTCTATAAGGATTTAGTACTCATTCCTTCCTTCTGGTTTTGGTGTCTTCTCTTGATTTACTTATTATACTCATGGGGTTTTTTTTAGGAGTTTTTTCCTTTTGAAAATTTTGGTGTTTTAATCTTTTTTCCTTATGATTTCTAGTTATTCACCTTTTTATGATTCCTTCTTGGAGTGAGTACATCCCCTAAGCTGGGAAAAGCTGCCTTAACCTCCTGTGTTGGGGGATCTAGGGTTCATCAGCTTGGATCTCTGCCTGAGTACTTTTTAGGGACACAGGATGGGCCCCAGCTGGGTTTCAGTCCTATTTCCTTCAGGTCTGGTAAAATCAGACACTCTTCCCATCCCTATTTGAGTCCCTCCCTTGAATCTCTTCCTTTTCCTCTTGTGGATGAACAGAATCTATTATCTGCCACTTTTTTTCAGGTTTGGGGAAAGGGGTGGAAGTCTCTGTGTAAAGTCTCTGCAGCTTTAGGAGTCCCTAATCTTAGACTGGGCCCAGTAAAAGGTAGCATTTTTTTTTCTTCTCCCACTTTTGCCTTCCTTCTCACTTGGCTAGGCAGAATCACTGGGGCAGCTGGGGGAGGAGAATGTGTCAGCACAATCTTTGCAGGAGGGGAGGATGTGAACATGTCATTCCCCTACTCACAATCAACTCTAATGCCTCTCTTTTGCGATTAGGATAAAACACAAACTCCTCTGTTTGGCTTGTAATGCCCTTCACTAACTGTCCTCAACCTATCTTTTCATTAGATATTACTTCTCCTTCTGCATTTTGCAGTCCACTCAAACTTGACTTCTCTGGGTGCCTCACATGACAATTCATTTCTCATCTCTGTTCCTTACACCAACTGTCCCCTGTATCTGAATGCACTCCTTCCTAATCTCTTTCTCATAGAATCCTTCTCTCCTTTTAAGGCTCAAGGACCACTTTGTTGTGGTCCGAGAAACTGGTGAAATTGGGAAGGCTTGAGTTGTTCCCACCGATCTTCCTTTCTGCTCCCTAAATCCTACCCTGAGAGAGTCTCTATTCATCAAAGAAGCTGTGGAGAAGACCTGAGGCAGTTTGAGTACACTTTGTCCCCAGAGGGATTGATTTGGGATTCAGTTGTGGACCCTTTGGGCAAAGAGAATATAAAAACAGTTTTAGGACTTTAGTGGAAAAACTCCTAAGACCCCAGGGAACCTTCTTGCTAACTGCTTTTAATTTTCTTGTTCGGGGCTTGCTTTTGAGGGTCTCATTTGAGTATCTTTTACCTCTGTATTGTTGGATGTTTTTATTAAAGAGACTGTTTATCTACATCTTCAGGCTCTAAGTGATTCACTATACTAGATGACTGCCAATATGACTGGGTCGACTTTCTGACATAAGGCTTTTCCTGATCCTTCTCCCCACCCCCAATCACTATAGTGCCCTCTCACTCTAGCTACCTTATATTGAACAAATTGCGTTTATTTGTTTTTATTCTCTTCATATGTATTCTATATATGCTTATACAGGTACCTGTGGTCTTCCCATTAGAATGTGAATTTCTTGTGAGTAGGGATTGTTTCATTCTTTTTTTATAACCTTAGTGCCTAGTATTTAGTGCCTGTTGACCCATAGTAAGTACTTAATAAATACTTGCTTATTGATGGGTCCTAAGTCCAAGGTTGTGTGTCCCTGATGACAGACTGTTAGGGCAGAGATTCTGAATGAGCATTTTGAAGATTAGTATTCTCTAATTAATAAGAATTGTGTCTTATAAAGGTCCTCTCCCTTCTGTGGACTTAGCTGTAATTGTTCTATAGCTGGCAAAAAATTGCTCTTTTTGGAGTGTTTCAACAGCTAAAGCAGTGTAGAGAAAGCATCCAATCTGACATTTTGCTCTTCATGTGACCTGGAAATCCAGAAGGAAGTTTGTTAAAAGTTGTTAAAAGTTAGTAAAGTTAACACTGATTTCTGGCAAAATTCCCTAATAGGAACAGCTATGTGGTACAATGGATAGAGCATTGGCCCTGGAGTCAGGAGGACCCGAGTTCAAATCTGGCCTCAGACACAACACTCACTAGCTGTGTGATTCTGGGCAAGTCACTTAACCCCAATTGCCTCACAAAAAAAAAAAGAATTCAAAATTCTATAATAGATTATTGAAGAGACGGTTTGTGAATCCTTAGAAAGATCACCAACAGCCAGTTAGCATGGGTTCACAAAGAATAAAGCATGCCAGAGGAGCTTCATCTCTTTTTCTAATAGTGTTTAGACTTTATCAAAGTTTAAAATGGAACTAAGACTTTCAGGACATTGTCGACTCTGATAACAAATGACCAAAGAATCACAGGTTTTGCAACTGCTGTTAACTACAAAAATACCAAAGACCTCAGCACAAAACTTTCTTTATTCCATTGGAGAAGGGTAATTAGACACATGTACTGGGGCCTCCTCTAGGAGGAGACCCAAGGCAGTGGGGCTAAACCAGGGGTGGGGAACCTGTGGTCTCAAGGCCACACTGTGGTCCTCAAATACCACCCTTTGACTGAAATCCAGATTGGATTCAGGTTCCCCACCCCTGGGCTAAATCTTGATTTATATATTTGTGGCTAGATAGAGGATCAAATGGTGGATTGTAGCAAAAGTGGTGAGAAACAACAGCAACAGTGAGGCAAGGTTATCTAGTGACAAAAAGTCCATTCATAGCAGGGCTTCAAGTCTGTTGGTGCTTGGCCGAGCTCAGGCACTGTCAGTTCTGTGATTTAGTTGCAGCAGTGTTCATCCACAGCGCGAGCACGAAGGGTTGTTGGTATGCCAAGCTCAGGGTAACAGCTTTCTCGCTGGGCCTTAACTCTGGAAAAGAGAGTGTCTAATAGTTTAAAAAAAAAGAGTAAAAAGAGGGGGGTGGTCTTGAATGCTGACTATATGTAGACATATATGTGCATATACATATATATACATATATACATATATATATATGTATGTGTATATATATATATATATACACATATACACACGTATACACAGAAACAAGTAGGTACATATATAGGAGGCAGCCAGGCGGCTCTGTGGATAGAGTGTTGGGGCTGGAGTCAGGAAGACCTGAGTTCAAATCCAGCCTCAGACATTTATTGGCTGTGTGACTCTGAGCAAGTTACTTAACTTCTATTTGCCTTAATCTACTGAGAAAGAAATGGCAAACCACTCAAGTATCTTTGCCAAGAAAAAAAAAAGCTTTTAGGGGCAGCTAGGTGGCACAGTGATAGAGCACTGGCCCTGGATTCAGGAGGACCAGAGTTCAAATCCAGCCTCAGACACATAAAACTTACTAGCTGTGTGACCCTGGGCAAGTCACTTAACCCCAGTGCCTAGCCGAAAAAAAAAAGTATCTTTGCCAAGAAAACCCTATAGATAGTATGGTCCATGGGATCATGAAGAGTGGGACACAACTGAACAACAACGTCATATGTGGTGTGTAATAATGTAATAATGTAACTATTGCCTGTCCTTAAGGCAAGAGCACAAGTTGGACCTTGTCACCTGGGTGCTTGTCTTACCATTTATTGTCTCACTTTTTCTTTCTCTGTTTCCCTTACATGATCATAGAACCTTCCCTGCATGCAATCATTTCTTTTTAACCTCTCCATTCAAACTTCTCTCCCTGCTACAGGACAACTCCCTCCTCATGTATAGCCATTAAATCACTCCTTGTACCCTGAACCCACTTGTGGGCTCCTAAACACTTAATACAGATCTGAGCTCTTATCTATATCCCTCCCTATAAAGCCAGCAGCACTAGCCCTGATGCTCCTTTGATTTTATTTTTAAAAGAAAAAATATACATTTATTTATTTTTAGCATTCTTTTCTTTTTAAATTGAGTTCCAAATTTTCTCCCTTCCTCCCACCCCGCCCCCACCCACTGAGAAAGCAAGCAGTATGATAGCAATTAATTATATATGTGAAATTATGCAAAACATATTTCATATTAGCTATAGCACACAAAAAACATGCAAAAAGCTAGAAAATTATACTTTCATTTGCACTCAGAGTTCATCAGTTCTCTCTCTGGAGATGGATAGCATTTTGTCCTCATGAGTCCTTTGGAATTGTCTTGGATCATTGTCTTTCACAGTGGATCACTACAACATTGCTGTGACTGTGCACAATGATCTCCCAGTTCTTCTCCCTTCACTTTGCATCAGTTCATATAGGTTTTATTTGTTTTTGGCTTTTTTGGTAGGCAATGGGGTTAAGTGACTGACCCAGCGTTACACAGCTAGTAAGTGTCAAATGTCTGAGGCCGGACTTGAACTCAGGTCCTCCTGACTCCAGGACCAGTGCTCTAGACCCACTGTACCTCCTAGCTGCCCCCTCATATGGGTTTTACCATGTTTTTTTTCTGAAACCACTCCCCTCATCATTTCTTATAGCACAATAGTACTTTATCACAATCATATGTCACAACTTGTTCACCCATTCCCAAATAATGCTGAGGCTCCTTTTAAAAAAATAAAAATGCTTTATTTGATATCTTTTGTTTTACTGATATCTTTAAAAAATGTTTATATCACTACAATTTTCTCCCTTGATTAACAACACCATTTTTCTCCCTTTCCTGCTCCTGGAGAGCAAATCTCCTATAACAGATAACATTTTTTGGAGACAAAAAAATAAAAAAATCACCATAATTGATCACTACATCAAAAATATATGTATTGGGCAACACTTGTGGACCTCTCACTTCTGCAAAGGTGTTGGGACTCTTTCAAATCATGCTTGCTTTTCATAATTTTACAATAGTTGTTTTGTTTGAGGTTCTTTCTGTTTACATTGTTATAACTGTTGTGAATGTTGTTTTCTTAGCTCTGCTTGCTTTACTCTGTGTCAATTTATGTAGGTCTTTCTATGCTTCCCTGTATTCATCACATCAGCTATTTCTCACAGCAGAGCAATATTCCATTATATTTACATGCCACAATTTGTTTAGCCATTCTCCATTTGATGGACATATATTTTGTTTAAAATTCTTTGCTATCAAACAAGTGCTGCTATAAATATTTTGCTACATATGGAGACTTTCTTCTTACCAATGGCCTCCTTGTAGTATAAACCTAGTAATGGAATCTCTGAGTCAAAGCTATGTCAAAGTCACTTTATTTGCATAATTCCAAAGTGCTTTCCAAAATGTCTGGATTCAGCTTCACCAACAAAGCATTAGTGTATATAAGGCTCCTTCTTGATGCCCTTGCACAGGCCTGGTGAAATGTGATGAGTTGTATGCTTCCAAGGAACAAAGGCATTCATTCCTTCTTTACTGAATGTCCCCGTAACATCCTGGACCTCTGATACTGAACCTAGTATAGGGCAGATATACAGAGAAGAAAGAGCCTGGGCATTCCTAGACTACTTGGCCCAATGCTTTTATTGTTTCAAGGACCTACCTAAGTCTTTGTCCCCTTTCCAGCAGTCTCCTTCTTTAAGACCTTGTATAATCTAGTAACACCAGGGGTGGTAACTGCTTTCTGTAGAAATATGGCCACTGATCGGTGCCATTGTTGAATCAAGAACCTGTGGAACTTCCTGGTATAATTGCACTTGCTCCTTCTCACCCTTCTATTTTAGCTGTATTGTTTTGCCTATGGTGCTAACAAAAACTAGAAAAGACATCTTTGCAATAGCGGGGTTTTTTTTAATCACTTCAAATTATGAGTATTCAGTAGAGGTGCCTAGGAGTGACAAATATTTCTGAAATAGCCCTCTGGATTAATCTCTCTGCTAACGACTGTGTATCATATTCAGGAAGAATGTCAAGTTAAGAGTATGTGAATGTGCTTGTCTTTAGTGTTCTTGATTCATGAGTATGCAGCAGTAAGAAATCAACATACATTGAAGGGAAGAGATCTGGAACTATTCTCTATTGCACCTGCTCACATGGCTTTATTTCATTTATTAGTTTATTGCTGTTATCATAAGATTAATCAGTTTTCTTTTTGTGAAGCTAAAGAGAGAAATTATATCTCCATATTTCTATTTAAGGGTGACATTCTATCCGACACTGATATTATTATGGGAGGCCCAGACATCTCAACTGAATCAAGCAATCTAAAGTCTAATAAACGAGGTGTGAATAATTAATCAATTCCAGAGGACTATATGGATTTGGCTATTAGATGAAAGGCAGGCACAAGAAACATTTTGTGATTGAGGAGCCTACGTAACACCTCTTAGACTACATATAAAAACAGTAAGCCAGGTTCGAGTTTGATAGTCAAGTGGCAAATGGGACTAGTAGTGAAAGAATTACAGTTTAAAGGATTCCAATATGAGAGTTGCAGCCAAGCCCCTGAGACAGAATCACTTTGGGACAGGGGAGGGGACAAGAGGAGGCAGAAGAAGTTTTGTTCTGTCTCCTAACCAACCCTTCTTCACCACTGACCTTGTTTTCAACAGACTAGACCAGTTGCAGGCACTGTATCTAGCTGGGATCAGAAACACTAGACCAGTAGGAGACAATACAACTAGCTTGGACCAAAAATTACTTGAGGAAAGGCAGTTTCTTGCAGCAGCACCCCTCATGGATGAGAGAAATATCAGCTAAGGACTCTACAAAGGTAACAACCATTGGAGCCTAACAGAGAGCTTCACCTAAACGGAATTTAAAGTTTCCCTAACCTTTGTACAGTTAAAAAGGAAGGGAAAGGATTTACAGGAGCAAGGTGTTGTGTTACCCCTTTGCCACATGTATTCTCTACACATATGCCTCACTACCTTTGGATTTAAAGTTGGTGTCCATTCTCCCCATGGATGCTCTGTATTTGTGGGAGAATGTGCCCCAGATTTTTGAGTAGAGTGTTATACTGTTGTGATCTGGGGATGCTAGGAACCCTGAAATACAGGGGTACAGGGCAGGAGTCTGCCTCAAGCCTCCTTTCAATCCAAGACAAGTTTATTGTGTCACAGTGGGATTCTTAAGTAATCTGTGCATTTGATGAGGATAAGGTTGATATTTTTATACAGAAAGACTGGGAAGATCTATATGGAATCTGTGAATGGTAAGTACCACTCCAAAGGTAACAGAGAAAGGGGTCTAGATCAGATTAAGGAGTGTCAAGTAAGCTAAATAAGTAATCTAAATGGACTGGGGTGGGCCAGTTGCCTTGGGTGGAGGCACCAGTGATCTGGGTTACTGAAATGTATAGGAAAATTTATGGACTGGGTTGCTTTCAAAGATATGGTGTGTTATGTTTGGAGGTGCAAATCCTATCCCTATCAATACCATGTTAAGTAAATACTTCTGCTAAAGAGGCAAGAAAGTGAGTCTGCCTGATGGTTAGTGGGAAATGAGAGACATGATTATTAATAACCCATAATTTGGGGAGATCCAGAGTTTCCCTTTTTTCTATAGTCCTCATTTCAAAGTTCAGTCTCTTGAAGGACATTACTGATAAGAGACTGAACTAACTCCTCAGCCTTGGTCAAATTCCACCCAACCTTACAAGGAATTTAATCCTATTGTGTTCTACTCAGGTTTGGGTGTGAATAAATTCATTGATTAGATTGGCCAAGGGCGTGTGTGTGTGTGTGTGTGTGTGTGTGTGTGTGTGTGTGTAATTTAGAAGTAAATGACATAATCAAAGTTTATCAGAATAGGTCCAGCCCCTCATTGTAATATTTATTCTCTCTCATTACTTGTTAACAAATCAGAGTTGATTGCCACCCTCTGGAACACCCACTTTTCCAAGGCTACTCATAAGCTGCGAACCCACCGCCATGATTGTCTTTGGCATTTGAGAGTGCCACTGACCTCTTTTATTAAAATGCTAGCATTATTAATAAGATGACTAATTACCCAGACATTATGTCTCTTGAACTTTTTAAATGTCACAGAAGCTTGTGAATAACAAGTTAGAAAACCAGTTCTTAGGTTTACCCCTAGAGCCCAAGGAAGTTCACCCTCTGAGGCACCCAACCCTGCCAGTGCAACCTAGGGGAATGACAGTGGAGGAGGTGCTATGCCTATCAAAATGTATTTACAGAACCCATAATTTCAGCATCAGAAGGAACCTTCAAGTTATTTAGCCTAACCATGCCTGAATAGGAATTCCTCCGCTTGAAGATTTCCAATGAACATCTGGATCACCTTTGGCCTCTGATGCTTACCACTTATGTTACCCTGGACAAGTCACTTCTCCTCAGTGGGATTCAGTGTTTTCATCTGTAAAATAAAAGAGTTGGGCTAGTTGGCTTCTGAGGTCCCTTCCAATTCTTAATCTATGAGTTTATGATAAGAAAACTTATCACAGTCTTCTTTCCTTTCGGAAACTCCTAGTTGTTAGGTTATTTTCCCTTATACTAAGCCAAAATGAACCTCTCTGCAATTTCCACCTTTGTTCTTAGTTCTATTCTTCAGGAGGAAGTTTCACATTTAACCTCTTTGTGGGGATGGCCCTTCAAATATTTGAAGACAGTTATCATCAGCCTCTCCTACCCTACCAAAAAAGATTCTCTTCTCCAAGGTAAACATGCCCAGATCTGTTCCTTCAATCCATATTTATTTGGTATGTATTCTATCCCCCATCACCCTGCTCATATTCTTTTGAGAACGCTTTAGTTTGTCAATATCTTTTAAAAACATGGCAACCAAAACTGAACACATCACAGGATGTGTTCGACTGGGGTGGGGTGGAGGAGGAAAGTCATTCTAGATTCTAGTCATTCTAAAATGAGATTTTCTTCATTTAAAAAATAATTTTTATTTTTATTATTCTGAACTTGACAATTTCCATACACAAAGAAGACAATGAAACAGCAAATTAATTTTGTATAGCTTATTATGGAACATATAATAAATTCAACACTGTTTCAAAGCTGTCCACCTTGTCTGTACCTTCCTCTGAACTTCCTGCAGATTCTCTAAGCATGAAAAAATGCTTCAATAACTCTCTTTCCCTTTCTTTTCTTTTTACTTCTTTTCTCTTAACACTATCAGTATCACAATTCTCTCCTCCCCAACTCTCCTCTCACACAAAGACAAAACAAAACCTGCCCTTATAATAAATAATAAGAGTCAAGGAAAACACACCCACATATAGGCCATGTCCAAAAATGTAGGTCTCATTCTTAACCTCTAGTCCATCAATTTGTTAGGAAATGGGTAGCATGCCTCTATTAGTCCTCTGGGTGTTACAATTGAACATGGCATTGATCAAAGTTCTAAAGTTTTCAAATTTGTTTTCCCTTTTTATATTGTGAGAAATCAATAATTGATACTTAGCTTTATTTTGTATTATCTTAATAAGGATAAGTCAATTTATTATGTATTAATGATCTTCGTATTGATTGGCGCCCTCATTATGTAAGTTTCAATTCCCCTGAAACCTATAACTCAGATCTATGAATTTGCTGACCATAGGGTGAGGTTAGTCAATCTGGTAATAAGATGTTTGCCCACCATGAGACTTCCCAGAGGATGTAGTCAGTTCTGTGTTTTTTTCCTATTGCCCTGGGTTATGGAAGGGTTATGGAAATCTTCCCTCTGAGTCAAGCCAACCATAGCCCACCTTCCATCTCTGTGTCAGATCAATCACAGTCTTAGTTTAGCTTGTATCACTGAACTATTTTTTGTACTGCTACCTTTTCAGCTGTATAAAAGGGCTGCTCTGACTGTCAGATGCATCTCTGGTTACTGAGGTGCCCTGGATCCCCTTTATTAGCAATTGCTAGCCTGGCTTATAAATTGATTATGCTTAGAACTTTGTGCCTCAGTTTCTCTTAATTGCAGATTTTTATAATGGCAATTGCTTTCATTGTATAAATTATTCTCCTCATTCTGCTCATTTCACTCCAAACCAATTCATGTGAGCCTTATCATGTTTCTCTGATTTATCCCATTCATCATTACTTATGGCACAATATTCAATACATTCATATACAATAACTTGTTTGGCTTTTTCCCAGTTGATAGACACTTTTAGTTTCCAGTTGTTTTGCCACAATATAAAGTGCTGCTACAAATATATATTTTTTTGGTATATATGGGACTTTTCTTTCTTTGATCTCTGTGGGATATATGCCATATTGCTAGGCAAAGAATATGCATAATTTCTTGACTTTGGGGGTATAGTTTCGAGTTACTTTCCAGAATGACTGGACCAGTTCCCAGTTGTGGTGGGTGAAAAATAAAATGACTGAGGAAACAAAGGTTTGAACTTCTGAGCATATTGATTTATTAAGCAATGTATGCCAACTGCATAACAAATTGGTTCTGGGCATTCTTCAGCTTTGGCATTGGACCCCGACAGGAGGAGACAGATTTTTGTGCACCAAAAACAATCAAATAAGACCAATTAATTAGGAGAAAACAATTAACCAGGATACAAAATTTGTTGATCTGATTTCTAATTGGAGGAAAGATTAGGGACTTTCCAAGTTTGGAAGGGGAGATTGAACAGATGTAATTCCCTGAAATCAGAAAAAGAGGTGTTCTACTCCTTCCAAGTGTCTGATTTCAATCAAAGAAACATGGAAACATTTATTGAAAAGTTTTTCAGATAAGACATATGAGTGAATTGTGAGAAAACTCCCTGCTTCAATCTTTGAATCTGACAGTTTCTGGTCAACATAACCTACATTCTTAGTTAAGGGTCTTTAAGCAGCAGTTAGAGGTGGTTCAGTTTCCCAGTCATACAGAGTTAGGTCCAAAAAATGCAATAAAGTTTTCTCACAATTCCCACAATTGAATAAAGTCTTCTCACAAAACAAAAATTGGCCTGTAATTGAATAGAAAGGGAACTGAGCTAGATCCAGAATTGAATCATAAGATGGAGTCAGTGTGGTTCACTAAATTCCCACTACCACTTGCTGTTCTAATCTACTCACAGTTCTACCAATAGTGTTATTGTGCCTCTCCTTCCAAAGTCCCTGCAATAACTCTCATTTTCACTCTTTTTTTGAACCTCAGATGATTTAATTTGTGTTTCTCTTATCATTAATAATTTGGAGCATTTTTTCATATGTCGTTAATAGCTTGGATTTCTCACACTGAAAACTGCCTGTTTATATTCTTTGATTATATAGCTATGGGGGAATAGCTCTTATTCAAATGTAATCAAATTAATTCCTTACATAGCTTTAATTCCAGACCTTATCAGAGAAGCTTTGAAATGAAAACACAAGTGTCAAATGAAACCTAGAAAGATAATATATGTTTGAGTAAATCAAAAGGGAATACACAGTGAAGCATGGCAGCCAGATGGCACAGTGGATAGAGTGCTGGACCTGGAGTCAGGAAGACTCATCTTCCTGAGTTCAAATCTGGCCTCAAACACCTACTAGCTGTGTGACCCTGGGCAAGTCATTTAACCCTCTTTGCTTCTGTTTCCTTATCTGTCAAATGAGCTGGAGAAGGAAATGGCAAACCATTCTAGTATTTTTGCCAAGAAAACACCAAATGAGTCACAAAGAATTGAACGTGACAATTGAACAACATACAATGAAGCAATGCTAACATTCTAATGGGGAAAAAGAAAGTGTCATTTTAGAACTTCATGTTTTCAAAGGTCATAGAGGGAATTAAATAAGACAAACAAAGGACTAGGGGGTAGATTCATTCTGTTTTGATAGTTTTAAGAGAGTAAGGAAAAGGAGAGTAAAAAAGGAATAAACTAGGAGGAAGAAAGGTAGGAAACTTACTATTTTTAATAATTAAGGTTCTAGAAGATAAGTATATAAATACAGAGGAAGGGATGGGGAGAATAGGCATCAGATGAAGAGAATATGATACAGGGAAATACAAAATTAACAATTATAACAATGAGCATGAATGGGATCAACTCACTCTTAAAATGGAGGAGGGTAGCTGAATCCATTTTCAATAAACACAGTTTCCATGAACACATTTGAAGTGTAAAGATTCACAGAATCAAAATAAGAGGCTGGGGCAGAAATTATTTTTCTTCAAGTCAACTCAAAAAAGCAGGGATAGCAGTCATCATCTAAGACAAAGCAACACTAAAAATAAGCGCAATTAAAATTATTCTGGAAGGCCAAATTGTCAATGCAATAATATCAATACTTAACTTATATGTGGTTAATGGCTTAACACTTGAAAAGAAAAATTAAATGAGAACTGGCAGAAATAGACGACAAAAATAATAATAGTTGGAGACCTCAATCTAATCCCTTTCAAGGTAGAAGATCTAAGAAGAAGATAGAAAAGCAAAAAGTTAAAAGTGTGAATGGAATTTTTTGAAACTTAGAATATGATAGCACTTTGGTAATTCCTGAATGGGAAAAGAAAGAAATACAAACATTTCTCAGATCTATGTGGCATCCTTACAAAAATCTACCACATTCTAAGGCACATAAGCCTCATAAACAAATGCAGAAAAGCAGAAATATTAAACACATCCTTTAGTGTCTGCAGGACAATAAAAATTATAATCAGTAAATTTTTTTTTATTTAAAAATTTTCTCCTTTGAAGAAAGGAATCAAACTTAAATGTAGACTAATTTAATCCTAAAGGGTCAAAGAATCAATCACAGAAATAATAAGCAATTTCAGCATAGAAAATGACAACAATGTGGTGACATACCAAAACTTTTGGAATATAGATAAAGCAATCCTAAAGGGAAAATATGTGTCTCTAAAAACGTTTATCAACAACAAAACGAGAAAACAGATCAATGAATTGGGCATGCAAACAACAAAAACTAGAAAAGGAACCAGATTAAAAAAACCCCCAACTTCCAATAAAAACTAAAACAGAAAATCTAAAAAATACAAGAAGAACAAAATTGAAATAAAAAAATTGAATTGATAAATAAAACTAGAAACTATTTCTTTAAAGTGGTAAAATAGATAAACCATTAGCTTAGTTTATTTTTTAAAGACAGAAAACAGAAATTGCCAACATCAAAAATGAAAAGAGACAATTCTCAACAAATACAGGAAATTATTTTTGTCCAATTACATGTCAACAAAACCAATAACTTAAATGAAGCAGATGAGTATGTACAGAAATATAAATGAGCAGAGTAATAGAATAAGAAATAGAGAATTTAAATAACTTAATTTTAAGAACAGAGATTGAACAAGCCATAAATGAACCCCTAGGAAAAATACCCCAAGACCATATGGCCTTCCAGGTGAATTCTATCACTTCTATGAAATATTCAAAGAACAATTCTAATATTACATATATTATTTGCAAAAATGAGAAAAGAAAGAATTTGGGGCCCTCTATCTGCTTCAGTTGATTTTGTATAAGAGCAATCCTCTATAAATTCTTTAAACCTATGGGACTCTGCCACTGATAAAAAGTTGCCCCCATTAAACCATACCCTCATTAGTCACTATGTTAGTGATTCACTAACTTGCTAAATAAACTTCTGCAACCTCTCAAGTTTCTTGGTCCAAATAGCCTGAACATTCTCTAACTCTCATGATGAAAGAAGTCAGTTCTCCAATGGTAGTAACCCTGTGGATAATGATGGATAGGCCAGACTGAACATTTCTTCCCACAAAAGGCAATTCCCAATCTCATCCTTAACTGCTGCTCCTATTTTTTTCTCTCTCAGCCCTAATCTCTACATAGTTTAACACATTCTACAGTATAATGTTAAGGTCAGAGATCATGCTTCTCATCTGTGACCTACCTCTACTGCCATTAGCATTGTCCTTAAACTATACTATGACTAAATCCACAACTTGCTCTTCTGCCTTCAACTCATGGTCTTTAAAAATAATGCTAATTTAAAAAATTTATCTCTGCCTTTAATTTTTGAGTAACAATGATATCTTTTCAATCTCCTCACACTGGCAATCCAGTTTTTCCAAAGCTATTGATAAGAGTCAGGAGATTATTAATCTTTTTAGATTTCTATTCTCCTTGTCAAGCTTCTTAACCCCCACTGAGCCAAACCTATAGGGTCAGAAGGATCCCCTTCCTTATTTCACTGAAAGGGTTCCTCATATAACACTAAAAATACTTCAACAACAGGATAGATACCAGGGTCTTCTTTCTGATCATTCGGTCACACATGGCTTCCTTTCTTCTACACCACCCTTCACATATTTCAACAATGAGTATAACAATGAAGTCAGTGCAATCAGCTCCTGTCAATTAATGCCATATTCTAGGTCATTCTCAGGTTAGTCCAATCCATTCAGGTTTAGGATTATGATGGGACGCCATAAAAATGTAAGAAATTTACTTAAGATTTAAAAGGATACAATTCAGACAAAATGTTACCTCCTTCCAGTTCTGTATTTTCCACAATAATGGCAGTTATAAGTCAGAAAGGCACTTCTATACAGCAGTGGAAATTCTGTTGAAACATTTAACACTGAATTCCTACAAATTGAGTCTTTAATGCCTCAAGTGACAAGGAAAGTAAACCAATGATGATCCCAAGTTTCCTGCCTGCTTAAAGGCAAAACCAGTCCTGCTTATATACAACAGATATTGCTCCTACCTCACTCACAAAATTAGAAGTTTAGTGTTTTAGGATTGGAGGTGGAGTGCTCAGTCATAGAAGGAGGCTGGAACACAGGAGCCTTGCAGAAAGAAGATGGCCAAAAAGTATGTCATTGGTGGGACTGGATCCAGGCTACAGGATGGTGAATGCTCACGAATCAGAAGCAAAGGATCTTAGGACTTGCCACTTCTTCTTATTCCATATCTTGGCATTTATAGGAATAACTAGATTAATACTATAGTGATAGAATCCCCCAACAAAGGGGATCAGTTAATTCTTCTCCTTCAAAGGTATTAAAACTGTCCTTGAGACTTAATTGGCTTAGAGGATTGAGACTCAGGCTGTTGATAGAGCTTCCTGTTCAACTGAGTACAAAGAGTCATGAGGACTCTCCAGTTGGGTGCTGAGGCTTGACACATAGACCATGATGGGCAGTACCGGAGTTCTCAACTGAATCTGTGCTGTATCCCCAACGATTCCTTTTCCTAATTTAAATATCCTTCCCTTGTTTTGTTAACAGTTAGATGGATTATGAGTTTTCAATTCATTCCATTTCAGAACCAAAGGTACCATTTTGATCTGGTCAGCCCTGGCTTATTACAAAGGTAGAGTTAGGAGCCTACTGCCACCACAAGAGGGCTGGTGAATGTGGGGAATCTGTCCCAAATTTAGTTCCTAATCTGGATAATTTACAAACAGTGGAGGATTCTCCACTTCCTAATTATTTAACTCAATCAAGAAGTATTAAGTACCTATTGCATATCAAGCACTGTGCTAAATCCTAGGGGTACAAAAAAGGCAAAAAGCAGTCCCTGCCCTCAAGGATAGGGGGTGACAACAAGTGGAAGAAAATCAATATATACAAAAGATGCCTAGAAAGTAGATGGAAGAAACTTTCTCTCACCAAATAGATGAGGAACCCTAATGGGGTTGTACCATTGCCAGTCACTTGGGCCTCCGGAGCCAGAATATTCGAGTATATGCTTAATGTGGTTTTGACTCAGAGTTGCTCTGATCTTTTCCAGGCAAGATCTGCATCACTTCAGACAAATGAAAAGCCCTAGAAGTGCAAGTGGATGGAGTGAGTGGTATGCACCTGTTGTAGTTCTTATTAAAGGGTTGTCTTAAAGCTCAGAACATTCCCTGTGGGCCAACCACAATATATTGTGTCCGTCAATATTTATATCCCTTGGTTGTTCCTTTTGGACTTCTTTCAGGCAATTGCTGTGCTATCTTGAGTATTAAAAGCTCTACATTACTGATAAGGAGGATGTGCCTCATCTTATAAGTACTGTCCATATTTGGAATACTTTATTGTCATGATGCAATCTGTTAACCTCCTGGTAACATTTTTCTGGTTGTCTGGCTAGATGGGAAAGCAGAGCCAGAGGATTTAATAATTTAAAGTGAGATATCGGATTACATTCCTCAGTATTACAATTTTCCAAATGGTACTCCCTTTAAAATAAAATATGAAATTTGCCACCTTGATTTAAGTTGAACAGGACTAAAAAGTTAAATATCCCTCCACCTCCCACCTCTTTTTCTTAATTTGCAGACAGTGGTCAGATATGTACACCTTAGTTTGGATTTTACTCTTGTATCTATAGATATTTAACAAACATTTTTTGACAATAATGATGATGATAGTGGTGGTAATGATGATGATTGTAATGAAAGGCTATTTTAGAATTACTGACATATGAGATGAGAGGCATCATGGCAGATTAGCAGTTAAGTCTTGTCTCTGTTACATACTGCCTGTGAGAACAATCACAAGTTACTTAACCTTTCAAGTTCCCCTAGTCATCTCTTTAAGACTTTAAATTACAGAGGATAGAACAGAGCCTAAGCTCAGACTGAGAAGGAAAAAAAAAAGGTAAATAGAACAAGATTTACATACATATGACACACACATTTGATTTACCAATCCAGTGGACTCTAATAATAGGTGACAAACCAGGATGACAGATTTTCTGTATTTTAATTTAAAGTTAATGCCAATTGGCATTAATGTTTCAGAGTATAGTGTTGATAAGGTCAGCTACAGGGGTCCAGTTCCAGAAAGAAAAGGGCACAATGCTGCCTAATTCAGAGGGAGCTAGTTTTCTAGAAAATAAGTACCTTGGTCACAGTCAGAAATTGGTTGAATTACTAGTGGCTCAATCACTATCTTCACCATCATTGGAAAAACAACGCACTGTGGTTTATCCTACTAATGGTAAATCACCTTTGGATACTGGAGATAACACATTGTGTATAATTTAATTCAACAAAGCTATAGTATACACGTAGTTTATCTTCCTATTGAGAAAAATAATACAGACCTAGTAAAAGTGGGGCTTTCAGTTCTTGAATTTCCCCTGTCTTGTTCAGGGTTTATAAAAATAAATCAAAGATAATTATCAGTATTTTGATTCCACAGAAGCACTGTTATAGTTTCTGTAGCAGGAGTTATTAATAGGGAAATAGAGATGAATTCCTCAGGGATCTTAAGCCGGTAGTATACAGCCCTGTTAAATTTGCACACATTGGAGGCCAGAGCTCCGTATTCCCCTCGCATTGTTTTCCATCACTGTTAACTCCGGGCTGCTACCTACAAAATTAGCTGGCACTCTTCCTGCCGAGCCATAAGGGTCATACCTCCATTTCGCTATCGGTTATTAACATCATGGAAAAAGCTGCATTAGCTTGACCTATGGTGATATCAAATTCAGTATTTCCTGTTACAGTGACTGTCAAAGATAAATAAAGGTAATATGTTGTTCAATTCCATTAGATAAATTCAATGCAGCAAACATTTATTGTGTGCCTGCCATGTGGAAGGTTTAGAACGTGTCTATTTCATATTGCAGCGCTGCATATTTTTGATTTAGTGGTAGCAGTAACCCAATTACAATCTCAGCATCAGTAACTTTTTTTTAAAGAGGAATCCCCGAAGCATTCCCCCAGCCCCTTGCTTTTGAACCCAGATTTATTTTGCAATTTTAAATACTATTTAAAGCAAGTGACATTCTTGTCATTTGCACAGTGGCCACTGAACATGGATAATATTTTATGTCGTTGTCTCCACCCTCAATTTTAGTTAAAAAAAAAAGTAAATATTGCTGGTGTCCTGCACGGGTCTAAAGATCTCTACCCTTCTCTTCTAGGTTTGTGATGACTTCATTGCTTCACTGCTAGATTGGGAATCTGCAGCCTGAGGGGGCTGTGCCTTCTCCAGAAGTGGGGCACAGTGCAGCAGCAACAGCATGTGCACGAATGACATTGCCAAGCCATCCAGCTGTTTGTTCCCAATTCAGAGAACAGGATGTCAGAGTGATGGATAGCGTGTGTGTGTGTGTGTGTTTCCAGCTTGCAGCAGTAGGACAGCGGCAGTAGCAAGGGACCGCGCGACAGCAGGAACAAGTCAGTCCCCACCCTTTATTATATTATTCACCTGGCAGATGTCCAAGGTTCCGTTTCCTCCTTTTTCACCCCCTCGTCCACTTTACATCCAGATGTGCTCCCTGCGAGCTCTCCTATCTCTCTGCCTCCACCACCCCTTCTTGCGGTGCATGTGTCCCCTGCCCGGGTGTGAGGCTGCGATGGCTCTTTACAGGCAGGATTTCCCCTCCTTTCTGCAGTGACTGGCGGGGTACCCGGTCTCCTCCTAGTCTCCCCCTCCCACAGTTTCTGCCACTGCCTCTTTCCCAGTTACGCTCTTTCGGGCTGCCAATCCTTTCCTTTTTCCTCCTGTTAGTCACCCTCCCTCCTTTCTCCTGTCAGGCAGCAGCCCGACCCCGCCCCCTCCCATCCTTCCAGCTCTGGTTGCTGGGGACTGACGAGTCAACCAAACCTAGCGCGAGCGACGCCGCGAGAGCTCGCAAGCGCGCCCCCGCGGTGAGTCTGAAGAGAATGTGTATGTTTTGTGGGGGTGTGTGTGTGTAAAATAAGAAAAAAAAAATTCAGGTCCTGGGGGCGTGAGTATCGATGGCGAAGAGAGGAGGAGAAGGAGAGAAATCTAGAGAGCGCGAGAGAGAAAAAGTAGGGAGAGAAGGAAAGGGAGCCGCTACCCGCATAGGTTCTCTCCGAAGCAGGAGGGGCCGGGCCTCGCCGGGGGCGGGACTTGGAGGAGCTCCCCCATTGGCTGAGGCGGTCCGGGTCGCCGTCGCTCGGATGGGTAGCAGGTTCGGCTGCGCGTTCCCCGGTCGGGAGGGCGGGGCCGGAGGATTCGATTAGTTGCCACTGCCGCTGTGGTAGAGAAAACAGTGACGGCTGAGGCGGCTGTAGCGCTGGGAGTCCCCGCTTAGAGCCGGGATAGTGGGGTGAGTGAGTCCCGCCGCCTGCCCCTTTCCCTGGGTGCCTCGCCCCGGCCCTCCCGCGGTGGGAGAGGAACCGCTGGCTCCTTTCGGTGGGGGGTAGGAGGGTGGGCGGGCACCGGACGGAGGTGACGGGGCTGCCCTGGCCCGCTTTAGAGCGAGTAAAAGGTTGGGGGTGTCACTGGGGGAGGGGCTGCCCCAGCCCCTGCCCCTTCCTCCTCTTCTGTGTCCTCCCCCTTTGCCCCTACTCGCCGGGGCTTCCCGGGAGAGCCTGGAGGGGAGAGGTTCTTTCCATTTTTTTTGACTGGGTGGGGGGCGGCTCAGTCCTGTCTCCCCCCCCCCGATGACGCGCATCAGGGTCCGCTCCAGCAGTGGAGGCTGCGCTTTCCTCCGTGGGGTGACTTGGGTGTGCGCGCGCGTGTGCGTGTGCGCGTGCGTGTGTGTGTGTGTGTGTGTGTGTGTTTCTCTGTCCTCCCCCACCCCATCTCCACCTCCAGCCCCCTTCCCCATTGGAGCTTCCTCAGCTAGTGAAGTGTCCCCCCCACCCCTGCCCTGCGCTTTCCTCGGAGAAACCTCTCCTGCAGGGTACCCTAAGGGGATGGGGGGCGGGGAGAGGGCTGTCACCTCTGCCTCTCGCTTGCTTCCTGCTCGTGATGCTCGCCCACCTTCCTGAGCCTTGGAGATGTGAGTCCAGGAAGATCGGAGTCTGGGGGGTTGGTGGTGGTACTACGAATGCAGTTGTGGGATGGTCTCTGAGCCGCCGAACTTGACTTAGCTGACCTTGACTTTGTGATGGGTGAGGGATGGCTCCCCCTGCATCTTCCGATGCCCCTTATTCTACTTGCTTAACAAGTTTTCTGGTGTGAAGTTAATTTCTGGAACCGCAGAAGATAAACAACATTCCTTTTACCTAATGGGAATGAAATGTTTTGCAGTTCTTTCGGTGTTCTGGATGTGTGTGTGTGTGTGTGTGTGTGTGTGTGTGTGTGTGTGTGTGTGTGTGTGTGTAGATATTAAGGGGAAAAATTTACACATCATAGATTCTTCCACCATAGTTAAACACATTTCATGCTCCTATTGTTAGTGCTTAATAATTAAACTTCTTTGATTAAAAAAACAAGCAAACCCTGGACATTCCAATATAAAAAAGCAATTCACAGATGAGGGTTTCTGTTCACTGTAATGTTAAAACACACATGAAGGATCTTCAGCTTGATCTCACATTTCCTGCTTTAGTTCTATGATGTAGAAGCATGTTTTAGTATTTAAATAATCGCAAATCAGTGTCCTCTAACACATTCTTTGTATTTTAATCAACAGATTATCTTCATATCTACTTGAACCTAAGAATCTTTTAGGTTGGAGTGTGTTCTAGGCACTGGCACTATATAGCAGGGAGTGTGGAAAGCTGCAGCAGCGTTACCATTTTGACACTCTCAGTGGGTGTTTCTTTTGACAAGTGCACATAAGAGAACATTTGGGAAGATTTTTTTGAGGTGGGGTTGGGTAAAAAGAGGAGAGAAAAAAAGCACAGAGTCAAAACTGTTAAGGTCCTGTATACTGAGCATTTTATTCCATTCAAGCAAAGCTAGCTTAAAAAGGAATCATTTAGCTGTATTTAATAATAAAGCTCAGAAAAACTCATACAGTGTTAAAATAAGCCACCATTGGAGGAAGGTACCTAATGAGGAGAGTAGATGCCAACTCCTCTTCTTGGCTTAACATTTTAGAAATGATAAATTCCGTATAGAACATTTTAAGATATCGGCAGGAGTGCTTTCTACAGGTAACTTGTTCTTTTTTTATACTAGATTTATGTGGTACATTTACCCATTTTCTCTAGCTCTGGCCTTTGAATTGTAATTTATTTATGTTTTCTGGATACATACTCTTTTACCATTACTAAATACATATTCTTTTACCATTACTTGAATTTTCCTGGCGTTAATTAATTGGTACATGTTCTTTACAGTGTTTCGCGAGTTTTAAAGGAAATACCCCTGGTAGCATCAGATCTCACCTATATGAATAATAGAAATAATTGCTTGCAAGTCGAACTGTTTTTTCAACCAATAATGTTCTCTGAGGTCATCATTTAATGATGACCATTTTAAATTATTTTCCTTTTGAAAGCGTGAGGAAACAGAATGTGGGGAAATTTCATTCAATGTTTCTTTCTCCGCTCCTTTTCTTTTAGCTTTGTCATTATGTCCAAAAACCCTTGTAAGGTTACCACTGGAAATAGTTTTTTTTTTTAAAGAAAAGACATTGCCTTCCAATGAAAAAAAATAACATTTGGTGATAATTTTAATGTTCACTGGTTCACTGTAGAGCTTTTTAGTAAGAGCTGAATTTGTTAACTTTAGTTTATTGACTAAATATTTAATTTATTAACTTACTGTGTAAATTTCAAGAGAAGAGAAAATAAGCTTCAAATGCCTTTGCTTTTTTCATCCCTGTGATTTCTACTCCCTCCTCCCGCTTGCCTGGAAAAAAAAACCCAAAACAACAACATTTCTTTCCTATTTGTATATATGTTTCATCTTCATCTTCCATTGTATTGTAGGTTCCTGGAAGGGCAGGGACTGTGTTCGTTGTTGTATCCCTGTTGCCTAATGTAGTGTCTTGCCTGAAGTAAGTGCTTAATAAATACTTTTTGAATTGATGTTCTTTTTAACATGTTCAAATATGATTTGGGTTTTCTACATTTTGGTTACTTTGGGGTCTGTTGCCATCATTTTCTTTTGGGTAGTATTAGGGATGCTAACATCACCAATGCTGCATTAATTTCTGTCATCTTAGAGTAACAAAAGCATGACTTAATTATAAATCCATGTGTATAGTCAAAATGATTAAAATATCATTTTGATAAACATGTATTTGAATACAACATAGTGACCCTTGTTTAGTGATCTAACTAGTAATTCAGCAAATATTTTAAAGAACCTTCTATGTTCAAAACGCTGTCTAGAGTGCGATACAGAGTTTAGGTAAGATCTTTCCAGGGCCTTATGGAGCTTATAGTTTTAGCAGGGGGATAAGATACAAATGTGGCTAAACATGATAGACAATAAATGCATTTACTGAGTTGCAGAAAATGTTTTTTACTTGGATAATATAGATTATCTTAGGTTCTCTAAGAATTTCATTTCTGCTGTCATTTAGCAACATCTTGGTATATAGGAGAGATAATTTGTGCTTGTTCTGATAATGGACTCAGTAAGATCCTCTAAAATGATACTGTGGAAAATGAACCACTTAAAAGATGTTTTGCCTTCTTTTGTAATTCAAGCAGTTCTAATTTATTTACTGTTTTAAACTAAAGAGTAGAAATCTTAGGTAATGGTTTTGTTTTGTTTTTTTTTTGGTATTCAGATTCCCATCATATAAGGACATTTCCATTTTTTTAATAAGTGTGTTACTTTTTTCCACTTTATTTTGTGATTAAATACACACCATCATTAAATATTGTGGAAATACAAATCTTAGTTCAGAATTACTTACCATTTATATAAAAGTCATTTATATCCAAAGAGCCTGATGACATTTAGGAATTAATTTCAGTATTATTCATCAACTAAGCATTAAACTCAATAATTCATTAATATTTCAGGGATCTGGGATTTCATTAGCCTGGCCTCCATGGATGAAGGTTGAAATCCTAATGACTTGATATATGGTTTTCAGGAATTCCTGAAACGTTGTACCTAACCTGGTGTTGGCTTCTCCAAAACTTATTACTTGGATGACAGGTCCATTCTTGCCATTTACTCTTAAGTCTTTTTAGCTCAGTAGGATCTCCTAGGGAGACTTTGGAATAGGATTAATGGAAAATTCTTCTTGATATTAAAAGATAAGACATAGAAATTGTTTTGTAAATCCCAGAGTGTTATTTATGAATTGTTTTGTTAAGGAGATAGTTTGTTAAGGAGATAGTTAATAAGACCCAGCCTATCTATGCCTATGTTAATTGGCAGCACTTTGAATTAAACTAAAATATAAAAAAAAACCCTTTTAAAAAGATTTTTATTAGGTATTTTTATTAGTTGTGGATCTTTCTTAAAGGATAGTCAGTCCCTTCTTTGGGAGTCTCTTTCACAGTTACAAGTTGCCTGTGACTCAGACCTTAACTTCATACTGTTTTTAGGTAAGGGGGAAGCAGGCTAGATTTGTGGATGTTTGATGTAAATAAGCCAGCACTTCCTGGAAAAACAACTAAAGGTGTATGATGTTCTGTTATGTTGTTTTTACATATGAAAAGTGGCTCATTTTTGTTAGTCAAAATAAGGCACGTGTTAATATTCTGCCACATGATATTTTTGTTCTACTTCCATCAGGAACAGGCCGAACTGGGAAATTAGGCAGGGAAGAGAGAAAGGCATCACAAACCATCATGCTTCTCTCTTACGCAGTTTCCCTTTCTCCCAGTGTAATTCTTGGGTAGGTGGGCCCTCCCTAAGGGAATAGCAATAAGGCCATTCTAAAGAGATAATATCATAGGTTGGAGGTGATCTGTCCATAGAAACTATAGAAATGTACTGTTTACTAATAGACGTCTTTCCATGGGAAACAGTCCTTTGAAGTGCCAGGCAGGTAAATCATTAACTCTCTCTAGTTGGTCATATCTGGAATTTTTAACCACAAAGAAATCAGACACATAGCACTAGTTTGATATTATCAGCATGTACTATTCTAAGAAGTTAAATGGAAATTATTGAATGTGTTCAGAAAAGAGAAACACTTTGGTAATCAGTGTGAGTCTGTTGTTAATGTGCAATCTAGAAGTGCTGTGTAGTGGAAATAGCATTGGACTAAGAATTTCACGTGAGTGGGATACCAGCTGCCACTTGCTATTTCTCTGGCCTCACTTATCACTATTGGAAAGTAGGGATGATAATGATGTGTACCCTTTTAACCTTAGATTTTTAAATGAGAATGTATGGGAAAGCATTTTGTAACTGTGAGCTGCCATTTTTGTCCTGCACAAGAGGTGTCGTATTGTAGTAATATGAAATGTCAGGCTCTCATCACCTCACACCTAGATTATTGCAGTAGTCTTCTGGCTCATCTTCCTCTCTCAAGTTTCTCCTCTATTAAGCTTTCAAATTGATCTTCTTAAAGTGCCGATCTGACCATGTTACCTTCTTACTCAGTAAACTCCTTTTAAAGCGCTTGATAACATAGCCCTTTCCAACCTTTCCTGTCTTCTTAGACTTCACTTGCCTTCACATAGTCTGCAGTCCAGTGGCAATGGCCTTCTTACTGTTCTTTGGACATAATGACACTCTGTCTCGTGACCCCTAGCGTTTTCACTGGCTGTTCTCCACGCCTGGATTTCTCTCTCTTACCTCTGTCTCCTGGCTTCCATTAAGTCCCAGCTAAAATCTCACTTTCTGCAAGAAGCAGAATCCTCCTTAATGTTAGTCACTTCCCTCTATTAATTACGTAGTAATCTGCTTGACTCCTTATAATATTTAAAAAATAACATTTAAAAAATTAACTTTTCTCCAGGAAGATCTGCTAGTGCCCAAAGAAATAGTTTCATTGGGATCTTAGGTGGCTCAGTAAGTCATTTCATCAGATTTTTCAGAACACCTTAATTTGCTTGTCATCCATTGTACTGGCCATCTATTTTACAGAAATAACCAATCATTTTCTAAAGGCTTCTTTTCTTTTTCTCTGTTTTCTTAGATTTTGTCTACATATTTATATTTTATTAATGTTTACAATTTTAGTTTCTTGATAACAGTTGCAGCTATTGAGAGTATATAACTATATGTAGAAGACAGTTGCTTTCCTTCAATCTCCCATATTATCTCTTGCCTGTGGTATTAATGCTTTAGCAGCATATTTGTTTATTAAAATTTATTTGAATCTTTCAATTTCTTTACTTTCTTTTCTCAAGGTATAATCTTTTAGATTAAGTATTTTCAGTGACTAGTGATTTAAAATTTTTTTTGAGTATTTGGAATATTATAATGTGTTGTGTTTTTTGGCTAATGCTATATTGAGAAACACGTGGCACCCATAGTGCTCTTTCTCAAAAATATGTTGATTCTTGATACATTAATGTGGCTGTTCCATCCAAGGGTGCTGATAACAAACTATCTGTGCCTACCTTCTCAACTTGTACAACTCTTGCTTACATCCTCCTGCAAACAAACAGACGTCTATGCAAAATCCTGGAAGTCTTTCTTGAGGTTCATGGATACCACTGGAGCACAAAAGCTGTTCATAGCATCTTCTTTGCCCATGCTACTTTAGCAGCCCAGCTCATTTTCCATTCACACATGTCTGTAATGACAACATAGTCTCCAGCATTATTCACATTTTCTTTCTTAGCTCTGACTATCCTCTGTAACCTTATAATCATCTTTGACTTTAACTCTTGCCTTCTTAATAATAACTCATATAAATGCTGATGCTTCTTGAATTGAATTGAATATTCTAATTTGTCTTTTCCCACTTCCCTGTAAGATCTTTTTTTGGGGGAATCTTTAGCTTCATTAAATTTTTTCTTTCTGTGATTATTGCTCTTCCTGTATCTCAGATTTTCCCTTTAAGGTAAGCTTTCCAAATTGTGATTCTACTAAAGCACTATTGCCTACTTTTCACATAGACAAAAAATAACTACAAAAATTGGTACCACCTCCTTCCTCAGATATTTCTTTTGAGTTCTGTGTTTGATCCAACCTGTCAGCTCCTTTTTGATATTAGTTCATCGGCTTTCTCAAACTTTTTTTGCCCTTAAAAAAACCCCAAAACGTTCTTTGGCTAGGCACTTTTAAGTTGCAGATTCAGGACCTGCATTCTAGAATCATTTATTTTTGTTTTCTTTATGCTCTGTCCTAGTCACTTTATATTTCATATTTTCCTATGCTAGTATGCTAGTATTTTCTCAGTGTCCCAAAACACCACCACGTATTTGGAACTATAGATCACTTAAAATATTTCTTCTGCCCATATGATTGCTCTACTTTTATCTATACATAGGATGATTTAGAATATTCAGATGTGATCCATTAGTGGATCCAGTTTGTAGAAAGCATTGCTTTGCACTTAGACTGCTAGCTTATTTCCCCCTTTTTCTAATTTTCTATCTTTTGGCCCTTTAACTCAGTGTTTGTAAACTTTGCTGAGACTTGAGTAGGGGAAAAATGATAATATGCTGAACTCAAATCCAGAGCCGGTCCAAGGTGAAGTCAGCCTTTGGTGCTTGCTCTCTGTGACTCTTCTATCTTTTTCCTCTTAAAATACCTGCCTTTTCTGATCCCATACATCCAGTGTTCCACACCTTCTTCATGCTCCCTGCTCCTCTCATAAAAATTTATTTCTCTTGTTTCTCATTCCCTTAGGGGCTTTGTTATATCCTTTTTAATATGCTAGATAGCTAACTTTGGAAGCTGAACCATGTAAACACATTAGTGGATACTAAAGGCTTCCACATATGTAACCCTTTCTAGTAATATATCTGTATCTTAAAAGGTATTTGGAAATGTGTTTTCCATCTACTAGAAATGCAGTATATGAACTTGAAAAGGAATTTAAGGCACTGATAGGGCAGTTGAGGTGAGTTTTCCAGGTAATTTAACATTTTCATTTAAGTAGTTATCAGTTCTACTTAACTGTAGGACTGACTTTATTAATATTTCACATTAAAGGTCTCATGTGGGAGGAAAATGAAAATAATTCCATTCAGCAAGCATTTATTGAGTGCCTTCTATTCATGTGCCAGGCACTTCAGATACAAACACGAAAATGAAACGGATCCTGCCCTCAAGGAGCTTGCCTTCTGTGGAGAGGGTAGGAGAAGGGACAACATATACTTAGAAAATTAAGTACAAAATACATATAAAGTAACTTTCGGGGGCCAAGCATAGACCTAACGTGAATGAGATGCTGTGTGGTCTATTGGAAAGAGCTGTATGTGGAGTAGGAGGATCTGGGTTCAAATCTTACCTCTGATCTTTATCATCTTTGTGACCTTGGATAAGTCATTTCAGCCTGTCTAGGCCTCAGTTTCCTCATCTGTAAAAATGAGGGCATGGGACTAGCTGACTTTTGAATTCTTTTCTAGCTTGAGATCTAAGATCTTACTGTAATGGAGGCTTACTGGATTTTGGTGGGCAGTTCTTGGAACATGTGCAGATGTTCCTTGCTTAGTTCCAGTCCCAGTAACCACATGGAACTTTGGTATGAGCCTTTTGTTAGTCATGATAATTCAGAGGTTTGTATTGAATGATGGTGATGATGATGATGAAGAAGAAGAAGAAGATGATGATGAAGAAGAAGAAGGAGATGATGATGATGATGATGATGAGTTCTATAATTGTCTGAGGAAGCTGGAAGATCTGGTGACTCCAGGATTGATGAATAGAACTCAAAATACAGAAATAGAAGGAAGACCTACTTCTCTCTGCCATGTCCCCTTTCCTCTTCCCCCTCTCTTTGGTGGCTTTGAAATAGGAGAGCTGCTTTTTATTGCTTCCCTGGAGTTGTAGAGGGAGAAGGGTCACTTGCCCTATTCCTTACCTGGCCTTGGAGACAATGAGCACATGGCAGCCTCTGTCTCTTTGTGTTTAGTCTTTCTTGATCTTAGGCAAATGTATATTCTGTGAGTAAAGAAGATTCAGAGATTCAGAAGTGGTGGTGGCAATAGCAGTGTCCACTGGAGTTGTAGTGGCTGATGACGGTGAAAGTGGCCATATCACCAGCGTAGAGACACAAGGACAGATGGTCTCAGAATGGTGGTCGCCTGAGGAACAGCAGTTTTATGGAGTATATCTCCTGCTGGAGAGAAGTGCCAGCTAAGGATTCTAGAAAGTCACTGACCTTGGGAACCTAATAGAGAATTGTAGCCTAATGGAACTTCATGACTGGGCTGTGTGAAGGGAGAAAAAGACTTCCAGGGCCAGGAGTTGGGAGGTATCTCTTTGCCACATATGTTCTCTATACATTTGTGTCACTGTCATTGTACTATAAGCCCATTCTCTCCATGGACTCTTTTAGTATGAGGGGTGGGGGAGAGGAGAGAGAAAGAGAGAGAGAGACAGAAAGACAGAGTGAGAGAGTGTGTGTGTGTGTGGGGGGTCTCCTCCAGAATGGGAGAGAATGTTTTCTATTAATTTTTCTTACTGTATTGTCTTAGTAAATACCTTTTCTAAAAGCTAAGTAAGTCTGATTGTTCATGGAGATTATACTACTGGGGAAAGGAAAGGCAATCCACTTTAGTATCTTTGCCAAGAAAACCCCAAATGGGGTTATGGGGAGTCAGACATGACTGAATGGACTGAACAACAACATGCCATTGAGTGACAGTGCTAGAAACTTTAGCATCTCACATGTTACCTCTAAACTTCTAAGTAGTAGACACATGCCCTCTGTGGATGCTAATCTGAGTGAAAGAATTAAAAAGTTGAGGGAATACACAGTGATCCTTATAAGAGTAATTCATTAACAGTGGGATGGTCGTTCTAATGGGCACAATGGAAGGGTAGGATAGGGATGTGGAAGTGACATGGATATGATATCTAGGGGCAGAGGAGAGAATTAGTGATGGTCTGGGAGGGAAGCTTGACTTTAGGCAGTCTACAGCTCAGAATCACTAGGACTCCCAAGTGGAGTTCTTTGACAGTTAGGCTTTTCAGAGTAGTCATGCTAAAACTGATTTGATTATCAATTCCTGAGCCAGAGGTAGAAAAATAAGGCAGTGCAGTGGTGGTGAATCCTTGATCCTCCTATCTGATCTTTAAGGCTAGGAGGATTGGTGGAGCCCTGGAACCTGACTGGTATTAGAGGATGAGGTTTATTGGAGGTACTTGACCTCCAACCTTTAATATGGTCAACATTACCCTAGGACTTCCTCCATTGTTAAGTAGATTTCCTCTTTTTAAAAGTTATATTTTATATTAAAGGAACCTGAAAAAATTAGTAGAAGTGTAGTAGAACTAGATTAAAAAAAAGGTTAGAAGATAGCACAAAGCTTTTGTCAGTAAGGCTAGGTTTTTTGTTTTGTTTTGGGGGGAAAGATGTTGGAGGGTAGAGAGAGAAGTATGGAAACAATCCTCAGAGGATGACGAAACTGGGGTCCAAAGTAGGGAAGCAACTTTTCTAAGGTCTGCTGCTCAAATATGAAGTGCAGGAGCTAGTATTGCTTTCTGTTGTTTAGAGCTTTGGAAAGTTTAATGGTTAAGTTAATCCTGTTTTCCCTTTTGGAGTTAGGGGTATGGTACTGTGCTAAATTACAGATTCTGAATAGAATGATCCATATACATGTTAACAGGTTTAAATGAAGTATAACATATTTCACATATAGATATGGTATAGATTTGGTTGTTAAACTTTGCTGTAATTCTAAACTTGGTTATGTCATGGTAGAAAGAGTGTTGGACTTGGATCAGGAAGCCCTGGATTCAAATCCTACATTAACACTGGGCAAATTATTTAGTCTTCTATGTTTCCGTTTTCTCATTTGTAAAATGGAGTTCAATAATATCACCTACCTTATGAGGTTTTTTTTGAGGGTCAGATAAGAAAATATGTGTGTTGTATTAAAGTGTATTCATATACTTTTACACACACACACAGGTATGTATATATAAATGTAAATTGCTTTGAAAACTTTAAAGTACTGTAAATACCAGCTGTTAATTTATGGAGGATAGAGGAGGAAATGAGGGATGTGAAAAAGGTGATTGGAAGGATGTACTGTACTTAAAATTTAGTTTGGCTCAGTTTATAAACACTGTATTTGCAGACATGCTATTAATGAGCTCTGCTCAACCACTAAAATTTTTAAAAAACCACATTTTTGAGATTTTTTCATAGAACAATTTTTGGTCTTTTCACAGAACATTTATTTAATGATGTTTTTCATTTATATAGTTATTAGCTGACATGAGAAACAATAAAATTGTAGTAAAATGTGTAGACAGTTTGTCAGTTAGTTCAACACACATTGATTAGCTGAAAATGTGCAAGTTACTGCCCCGGTCCTTATGTTCTGCCAGGTGAATGAATAGAGGACACAGGCAGGTAAGTCAGTATTTGGAATTTGATGCCTTTTAGACCCTAGATGATTGTTTTTAGAGAGAATTTAGGAAAAGTTTCCTTAGAGGAGGCCATAGTTGATCTAAATCTAAAAGGAAGATGAGAATTCTGAGATGCAGGTGGGAGGGGAGAGTGTCTTTCGTGCATGGGAAGGGCTTAGAGGAAGCATAGTATGTAGTATGACATTCCAGAGTTTGGGAAGCAGTAGAACAATTTCTCTGTAGAGTTAAAGGGAATAATGTGAAATAGTTCTAGAAAAAGAGGTTGGAGTCAGATTTTAAAATACCTTAAATGTTAGGCTTCAGGAAATTTGTATTTTTATACTAAAAGTGATAGCTGTTGGAATATTTTTGGGGGGAGAGTAAAAAGGAACATTTAAAAATAATCAAGTTGTCATTGAAATAAAACCTATCCTTTAAAATTTAGGGTACAAGTCATTTGAAAAAAAAAACACAACTTTGTCTATTAGTGACAAACCATGGCCTGGAGAAGTCTTTGTTGTCCCACATAGAAAGGAAGTGAGACTTTGAATAGGAGACCCACAGACCTTACAGTAACTAAAAAAAAAGTAAGTGGGTGGCTAAATACGCAGTGGATAGAGCTCCTTGCTTGAGTCAGGAAGACTCATCTTCCTGAGTCCAAATCTGGCCTCAGATACTTATTAATTGTGTGATCCTGGGCAAGTCACTTAATCCTATTAGCTTCTGTTTCCTCATCTCAAAAATGAATTGGAGCTGGAAATGGCAAACCCTCTAGTATCTTTGCTAAGAAAACCCCAAAGTGTTCCATTTCTTGGGTAAGATTTACCACCTTCTCTTCTCAGCTAGCTGTTCTCCTAGTAATTTCCTCAAGAGCTTTTACTTCATTTTTTCAGTCTTTTACTTCATTTCTTCTGGGTATTCATGTAAGTCCTTGAGGAAAGTTCATTTTTTCCTTTGAGTCTCTCCTTGCAGTTGTTATGGAGGTGGATTCGCAATACATTTTTATATTGCATGTGCTTTCTTTTAGTCATCTGTCCAGCTTTAGTTTTTTAATTGAGTGAGTTTTTTTCCCCCCAGGGCAAAACTTTGACCCTTGTACTTTTGGGTGATGTAGTTAGCCTTGCTTGGTCCGTGCCTGGGTCTCCTGGATACTTACGTTAACCTCCTCTTTATGAGGTAAGGTCCCTGTGGATCTTTGGGATTCAAATTGCTGTATCTTCAGGGACTTCTATGACATGAAAGGACAGGATGATATGCAGCTTGGAGAGCCAGGCTGTCCTGGTCCTGGCTATGCTTGCACTGATTGCTACACCTGTACTGCTCCCTGGGGTGAACCTCTGCTCTTGTTCTACCTACTTCTGGACAGAGATCCTGCAGGCTACATGTGTCTTTGGACTTTCCGTGCTCATGTTGGTAGGCATGTAGGTTTACCTGTACTGGCACTGGTTTTGCTGGTGGTCCTCCTTTTAACTACCTTTTGGTTGCTGGCTGATGTTTGATGTAGGTCTGGGGTAGAAGAAGTCATTTTAATTTGTCATTGGATTTTTTTTTTCTTTTTTGGCGAGGCAGTCAGGGTTAAGTGATTTGCTCAAGGTCACACAGCTAATAAATGTCAAGTGTCTGAGGCTGCATTTGAACTCAGGTCCTCCTGACTTCACTGTGCTACCTAGCTGCTCCTCTCATTGGATTTCTTGATCATTATTTGGCCTGGTGCAAAGTTCAGGTTTTTGCTGTGGTAAGTTTAGGAGAAGTTGGGCAGCCTGTCTCCATTTAGGCAATTACCTTGGCTAGAAGCTTTAGGATTGCTTTCTAAGGACCAGCCTTGTTAATTTTAAAGAGGTTCATCACTAGTAGGCTAGCCATTTGTTGATAAATTCTTTGACCGTGGCAACCTGCAAAATAAGGAAAAGCACAAAAATAGTCCTGGATCTTGTGCAGAAAGTGGAGCAGAGGGTGTTTAGACAGTCTATAAACATTAACTTAGCTGTTGGTATGCAGAACGTGAAATCTTTGTGGACATACTACTAAACTGAATCTCATCAATCTCGATTTTTTTGCCTATAAAAAGGAATAAGGAGGGCAAAAGATAAAAGTGGGAGGACCTTAGTTAATGGTAGGATGGCTTATGGCCTCCCCTTGGAGAGGCAAAAAAATGAATTGGAATTGGGTTTTCTGTGAATGAAAACATTCATAAGACGTTCATAAGAAACTTGGCCTTCTTATACTGTAGAGCTCATGATAATTGTTTGAGAAAAAAATGACCATAAAATTGTAGTGAATGTACCAACATCTGTTTTAGAGGATGAGGGAGAGGAATGGTGCTAAGAATACATACTACTCGGAATACATGTGTTGATAGGTTGATAGGCTTTGCTTTTGGTGATTCCAGTGCAAAGATGGGCATTTGGGGAAAGGCAGTGAAAAAAATATGTTGAAACAAGTGGTTCAGAGTAAAAAGTGAGAAAAATCATCATGAATGCTCTTTTGGAGAAGAGTCAGACCATGCTTTGGACTTGGAAAAGTACCAAATAATTAGATAAAATTGATACAAATTTAACTCACAGGAAGCAGCTTATTATTGA